TATACCACTGTCTTCTGACCTTTGGTGAAGAACTTGGATAGAGTTATTATCTTAGCACCAGGTCCGGATCTACGAAGTTCAGATTCCTGTAGGTGGGTGTTGCTTGGATCTGGCTGTGTGCTCCACTTCTTTCTGCTGCAGCCGTTAGAGTTGAACCCTTTGTGTCTCTCTCGCAAGATGTTCTGCTCCTGAATCAGCTGGATGGGTCTTGCCTCTAGCCTCTTTGCAGGGAGTTTTGTTGAAGGGTTCCGTGCTGGGCCTGCGCTCTGGGTCTATTCAGGATCTGGAGGGCTCCAGGTCGTCTCACTCACCGCCCGGCCTATTTTGTGGGCTGTGTGTTCAGGATCCCGCCAGGCCCTGGGTTGTCTCACTCACTTGCTGGGCCTGCGCTCTGGGTCTGTTCAGGATCCCGTGGCCTGTGTCATCTCACTCACTCGCGGGGCCTGCGCTCTGGGACTGTTCAGGATCCCGTGGCCTTTGGTCGTCTCACTCACTCACTCACTCACCGGGCCTGCACTCTGGGTCTCATATAACCGCTTTGATCAATTTACTTGTCCTAGTTGCTAGGCCCTGTTTGAGTTCTTAGAACATTTTTTTAATATCTGGAGCTGACTGACAAATAAAATGCTGTCCTAGAACAATCTAACTTTCCCTAGACTCCAAGTATAAGTTAATGAATGTCTTCATAGAATTCCTCTTTAAGCTGGAGTTGGAAAGTAGCTGGATTTTTATCAGAACCTTGACTGATAGGCCTGAGAGTATTACAGATTATATGCTTGAGCATCCCCTTGTACCTACCTTGCAAGTTGACCAGAAGGTATAAATTTCATTTGGCTTCTTCATCCCATTTTATAATCATGCTTGAGCCCTTCTTGGGGTCCAAATAATGCATTAGAGCATTGTACATTAGTGGGTTAAGCCGTGAAGGCTTCATCAACCTGCTTTCTAGCTCTCATATCCCTTTTTATTGTTATTGCTGTTTTATTTTTATTGTGGTGCAGCCCGAAACCAGAATGACTTGGACATCACCTCACCAGGTCGGATCAAAAGCCATGTTAAGAGCGTGGAAACCATTAGCAAACATTTCAGAGTTCTCAGAAAATTAGCCAGTGTTTACTTTTTGTCTGTTTTTACATTGCTGTATATCTATAACTGAATAAAAAGCTTGTTGAGAAGGTATTTAAACAGGGATTCCAGTGGAATAAGTGGGATGTATTTCAAAATGCATGGTGTAGGCCGAAAGTCATGGAAGCCTAAAAATCTGACCCTTGGGTCAGTCACTGACATGGGCATGGTGACCCTAGAGGGCATGTCTTGAGCCATTAGACCAGGGATGTGATCTCATATGGCTAAACTCCTTGGGATTTGGTCATAGAATCCTTATAGAGCATTTTCCTATGTTACTTTCCACATGGGAATCTTACAGGACATCCTCTAGGTTTATAACCTTGTCTAGATATCATCAGGATATTCCCTGATAAAACCAGACTCTTTGAGGGCCAGAAGAACCTGGTATTGTGTGGATAGTACTGTCATTTTCTTTTCAACCTTTGGATCTCCACCTATGACAATAACACATTTTCTGGACAAGCAGTCTAGAGCTGGGGTACTATATTAGTTGGAAGCTTCAAGTCACCTGTATTAAAAACATTGTAATTTTTGCCATTTTTAAATCATAGTAGCTCTATTATGAATCATATTCTGTGTACATATGGGCCCACTGAAGACTTTTCTGTTTCTGTGATATGTTTGTCATTCTTTATATTAAACATACAGTTCCCTAA